ACCAGCAATTAAGAGGTGGTTCCACGCTCCTCAAAACCTCGTGATCAGAGGCCTTGCTGCTGGACTTAGTTTAACGTCTTACCCTGGACGCTCGCAGGACTTGGTAATGGATTTGGGGAGAAACCTTTAACCAATTGGACGTCTAATAGGGCATGAGGCATTTATTTAGGAGCAAGAGTGCCGTGGGAAAGTACCACTAGGGTGTCGAGAAGGTTGTTTTCATTTTTCTATTTCTTTTCGAAGGATGTAGCAGCCAAAAGCTATTTTAGAGTCACAACTAGATAGCTTCCTTTCAATCATATAATATATATATATATATATATATATATATATATATATATATATATATATATATATACTCGTTTCGAAAAACCTTCGAATTTTTGATTTGCCAAGAAGAAAAGGTTTTAAAAACGAAAAGAGCTAGAAACATGAAAGTCTGTCGAAAAAAATCGCACAGATACAGGTTTGAAGCCCAAGTCTGGCTCACTAGGTTTCTCTCTCTCTCTCTCTATATATATATATATATATATACATATATATATATATATATATATATATATATATATATATATATATATATATATATATATATATATATATATATATATATATATATATATATATATATATATATATATATATATATATATATATATATATATATATATATATATATATATATATATATATATATATATATATATATATATATATATATATATATATATATATATATATATATATATATATATATATATATATATATATATATATATATATATACATATATACATATATATATATATATATATATAAATTTCCAAGAGGATAGAATCCAGGTAGAGCTCAGTGTCCAGGACAGAGCAAGAATATAATATAAAATGTTCAAACACTAATATTCCATAGAATATTTGAGCCTTTTACTGTATATTTGGGCTGCAACTAATTTTTAAACATCTTTTATTAAATATGGTAGACAAGGAAGATTTAATTCTTTTTTTTTTTATTTAGTTTTTCTCGTATCCTTATGTTTTTCCATTTTGTAGGTGTAAGGGGAGTATAGAAATTTTTCATAACTTTCATTGTCAGAAGCACTTTTAGACACTTCTTTAGCCATTTTTCAAGGGTGGGGTTGTTTTTCGTGTTGTTAGTTTTTCCTCGTGTTTTGACTGTTTAAGTTGTATTTTATTTTTGTGTTATTTTCAATAGGAGCGTTTATTCCGAGCCTTAGGGTGTTGATGGCACCTGGAATTCGCGTGAGCGCCTTTCGATTTTTTAAAATACTGTTAATACTCGATTCTCTTTATTATATATATATATATATATATATATATATATATATATATATATATATATATGATCCACTGTCCACCATTAAAAAAAAACATACAAACGGAGATTGAGTCAGCATTCCTTACCTATATGTGGTGAAAGCTTGCTTATATTTACGAGCATCACCGTCTCATCTTCCAGTCAAAATTATTAATCCCTTCTCCCGGAACTTTTCATCTTTCACAGCAAAGAACTGCTTCTTTTTGAAGTGTCTCCTTTTTTGTTCATTAAGTGAATTCTGTAAAGACCAGAATCAAAGAATAAAGGTAATACAAAGATGTAATATTTACTTTTATCTTTCTCTCAAAGAACTACACAAATTACCTTTTGCATTCTTGCAGGAAATTGTTTTTTTGTTATTTTTTTTTTTTTTTTTTGTTAAGACAATTCCAAAGACCAGAATTAATCCTAATTCAAAAGTGCCATTTCTGGCGACTATAATAAAATAAGATGTAATAATTTTTGCCTGGTTGCCAAAAAAATATGCCGCCATTTAATCTTCCTTAAAGAATATTACACTGTTTCTCTAACATAATTATTGATGCTCTTCAACAATTTCTGTTTTCATTTGGTCTGATTTGTAGTTAGTTTTGTTCAAATCATTTGGTTCTTTGAAAGAAGCCCATATAAATCTCACCATGCATGGTGTCACCTTCTTTGGACAAAGCTAGAATTTTGTAATCTTTGTAATTTGTTTATTTTAATTTCAACATAAAATTTATTTAACAAAATATTTATAATTTTGTTCCACTATATTCTTTATAATTCTGTTCTCTAAGAATTTTTAAAATCTTTTTCTTTGACTGCTTCAATGACTTTTTAAATCTTTCAAAGAATTTCTACCTTTTTTTCAATTAACAAAATTCTATAAAGAATAGAAAGAACTTTTTAGCTTTTCACTATTTTTCACTTAATACTATGCCTAGAAGCCACTCAATGTAGAGGGTTTTATACATGAGGTTTTATGCACATAAGAAAAAAAGAGTTCTTGTCGAGTCGCCATAACACATCTATCCAGTGTTTCACACAAAGACTTGCCTGGGGTGTTAAGGTCACAAGGACGTTAAATCTGCATGAATCTTCAAGATTACGGTCAACTAGATGTTCCATAGTTTATGTTTGCCAGCATTGGCAGTTAGGAATAACATCGGTGCAATATTCCCATTTCTAAAGGTTGGCTTTACAGTGACCAACAGGTGTTCAGAGATAGTTCGGGAAGGACCAAAAAGGCCAGGCATCACTGGAACCAGGAGTGAGCGATTCCGTACCGCTGAGAAGAGCCTGTGTTTCACGCTGTTATATAACTTGTTGATGCTACAGCCATAAGAGTATTGTCATCTGTGGAAAAAATATGGCACTACAGTAAAGTGTTATCGCAATTCAATTAAACTACGAAAAGTTTTTCCATTCCTGAATGTGTATACATTTGGGGAAATTATATATATATATATATATATATATATATATATATATATATATATTATAAATAATATTTATTTAAAATATGATTCCAACTCGCGACATAAGATGTCTCATGTTTCAAAACAAGAGCCGAAAACTCAATATCTGGGATAAAGCGTATGGAAATATAAAAATAGACATACAAGTCAACAGAGGCGACAGTCTGTTTCATGCTAAACGCAATCGTCGGCCCATGAAACAGACAGTTGCCACTGATATTGACTTCAATGTATACTATATATATATATATATATATATATATATATATATATATTATTTATTTATTATAATTTTATCATATAGACAAAACCATTTTACTCACTACAAAGATGCAACTTGGTTTCAGTGCATTTCAACTGCATTTCGACGGGTGACAAGCGAAAATGGTTATGAACAATCCTGCACTGAAACGAAGTTGCATCTTTATAGTGAGTAAAATGGTTTTTGTCTATGTGATAAAATTATAATAGATAAATAATTATCACTCTACTATCGGTATCGAGCCCTCTTTTTGGATTAATGCTGTGAACGTTGGAATTTATATATTTCTTTTGTTCTCATCGCATCGATATATATATATATATATATATATATATATATATATATATATATATATATATATATATATATATATATAAGTGGACATTGAAGTCAACACCCAGTGGCAACAGTCTGTTTCATGGCCCGACGATTGCGTTTAGCGTGAATCAGACTGTCGCCTCTGGCTGTTGACTTGTATGTCTATTTTATATTAACATACGCTTTTATCCCTGATACTGAGCACTTTAACCCATATAAGTGTGTGTATGTGTGTGTGTGTGAGAGAGTGAGAGAGAGGGAAAGAGAGAGGGAAAGAGAGAGTAATGAATTATTAAACAATGCACCTAAATGGCGGTCAAGAATAAACTGTTCCCAAACAACACCTGTTTCAGACCTAATTTCGTTTAAGACTCTTGAATAACTAAAGTTTGAAAAGCGTGTGTCATTGTATGTAGTTTGAAAAAAATGTTTTCCAGGTTTTGTAAGCTTAACCTATATTTTGAAAGGAATTATAATTACCACTTGTAAAAGTATAATGGTTACAAATTATTACACGATAACAATTCAATTCAATTCAAGGAACTGAGAAAATCAACGATCGCAATAGGAGGAAAGTTACCTGCAATTCTGTGAATCATTCGACTATCAGAATTTCTTGTTTTATGAGAAGTGTTCAATTGTTATTAACTAAGATTAGCTTTGTCTGGTATAAGGCTACAATAGTTGGAGACTAAAATCCTTCACACTCTCTTACCAACCATTACTTGACTTTAGACACCTAAACGCAAAACCTTGTCGTGACAAAACTGTTATTTTGGGAATCTGACTTCCACAGGTTTTAAGGATTAAAATATGTATTCTCCATAATGTTGTATTAAAATGAAGCTTTTATACTTAGTTTAATTTTTCAGAACTATTTCTGCTTCACATGAAAAGTTGGAAATACAATAAAGAATTATTTAAGTCTCCAGTCTGTCGTGCTTTGTTCAGAATCTTTTAGCCTTCCTGGATCGTCCTATTTTTAACTCAACCACTACAAAAAGCAAAAATAATTCCTTGCTCTCAAAAGTGATATCGAAGCGAAATTCACCTGCCATCAATCAAACGCATTCTTTCAAATAAACCTCGCTTTCCACCAATCGTCTGCTTTCTTTCAAATAAACCCTACTTGCCACCAATCGTCTGACTTCTTTCAAATAAAAACCACCTAATAACAACCTCCTTATCTCTGTCACAACTACTGAATCCCTCTTCCGTCCTAAGGATAAACATCCGGGGTTTTTATTTAGCTACCTTCGAGATATGTGGGGTGGTCAATGTGAGGAGGGTATCATCGATGGGGGAAGCGTCACAAGGTCTACTTATCTGCCTTGCAAACAAACTGACTCAATTCTCTCCGCCAGTTTCTCCGCTCTGATGGTTGACAAGTTACGGGATTTAAATGGCCATAATTGTTGTAGTTCTCTTTTGCTGTAAATACACAACTATGTTGGCCAGAAGAGCATCTAATCTAATAAAGACATTAAAAAATGTGCCTGAAAGAATAAATATGGTTGGGGTCTGGTTTAGAGTGTGGGTGTCGAGAATATGGCGATATATGCGAGGAACGAACAAATACGGATAAGTAAATATATCTACACAAGTTTAGATAAGACTTTATCTGTTCACAGACAGACAGATAGATAGATATGAGCAGACTGACAGATAGATAGATACGAATAGACTGACAGATAGATAGATATGAGCAGACTCAGATAGATAGATACGAATAGACTGACAGATTGATAGATATGAGCAGACTCAGATAGATAGATACGAATAGACTGACAGATTGATAGATAGGGATTTTCCAAGCGTAGATTAGATGTGGCACAAGGCTGAATGTAGGGGGCACCCAGTGAGGATCGAACTCACTACTCAGTCGTAACTGTTCTAGCGCGACAAGCTTGCTAAACATTACAACGCCTCGGGGTGTCCGACAAATTGATAGATATTAATAGACTGACGTAATGAAGCTTTCTATAATTGCTCCAACTATCTATCTATCTCAATCTGCTCTTATCTATCGTGCCATGGGGGCCTGCGAAACCATTCGACACCGTGTTGGAGTATTTGAAAGGGTCCGCCGTCAATGATCTGACGGGTGCATATGTGTGTAGAAGCAAGCGGAGGATATTTTGAACATTTGTTATGAGTTGCTGTGCCGAGGTACAACGATGGCCTTTTGGGCATCTATTTATATGGCCATTTTACCCTATTTTGGTGATAGGAACCCGCCCCGAAAGTTTATAAAAGTTTTTGTATTGCATCTTGGATTGTACATTTAACAACGTCTAGGGTAAATTTTAAACTTATAACTTGAAAATGAAGGATTTGTGGACAATTGTTTATACGGACTTTTGACTTTGTTTGGTTTGAGAAACCCGCCACCAAAGTTTGTAAATTTTTGATAAACCCTATATATATATATATATATATATATATATATATATATATATATATATATATATATATATATATCCAAGTATATAATTGGTATATACTGAATGAATTCAATAACCAACAATTACTATTCTTAAAAGAGTGCTCAATACAAAGTAGAGCAGATATAATTATTTTTTATAAAAAAAAAATTATAACATAAATATGTTATAAAATCACTACAAAAATAGCCATTTTGTTTCTTTTTTTATTTCGTACTTTAAAGATCTGAATAGCTATTATAACATGATTTCATTGTCAAGCTTTTGAATCTTCCTATACTTGGGTTTTGATTGGTCATTCTAGCTTTTGTAACAATAATTTCCCCTAGGATCGTTAATTAATTTGAAACTTTTAAAACCATTTATTTCATATTCAACATCATCACTTGATAAGACACCGAGGGTGTTGAAACAAAATGCCTATTTTTGTCGTGATTTTATAACATATTTATATTATAAATTTTTTTTTTTATAAAAAATTATATATATATATATATATATATATATATATATATATATTTGAATAAATAATTTTATGCTCATTTTTGTGGGGGCCTAGGCAACGTTTGGGTCAATGCTTCTTCAGGGACCGATCGTTGTCACAACTGTTGTAATGAAAATTAAACTGCAAATATGCGTGAAAATTCTTGGAGATAAGACTGGAACACGTCTAAAACAGATTTACGATTAAAATAAAAACGTAAATTTAAGAGAATAAGTAACTGAACAAACCAGAACATAAAAGAAGTAAAAAAAAAAACCCTCATTAACCTCCAAATAAGTACTCTTTTTTCTGCAGAGAGATGGTTGATGCAATTTAAGACAAGTGGCCTCAAGAACTAACAAATGGTACTTCGACCTGCCTATATGCAACATAGAGAAAGTGTCACATCTCATTCTCCAATAGGTGCTGTCCGATTATATATATATATATATATATATATATATATATATATATATATATATATATATATTCCGTCGTAATCCAATTTAAGAAGAAAGTTTCTCTCAGATAGCTTTTCCCCCAAGAACTGACATATTTTACAACAGGCTCCATCTTGACTACTTTCCTGAACACAACAATCTTAATTTCTTCAAATCAAGGATCAATTGTTATCTAGTCTTCTTATTGTCATAATCCTCACTTCCTACCCACTCTTCTTATATTCATAGCACACACCTTATTCAGTAACATTCTACCTTGAGTGGCTCTCTAGGCTTGTTTTGGGTGAACATTAGTTAAAGAAATCGGAGCGTGATATTTTAATATTTTTCTTCCAAGGGGTGAGGGTTTATTAATCTTAAAAATCCACATAGGTAATGATGGTAGTGTATCTGTGTTCAAATAATGACAACCATTACCGTAAGAACAATCCCAAATACTACGACAGCTTTTCTGTCTAGTTTTATAAATTAAAATTTTAAAAGGTTTCTGCATCGTTGGCGGGAATTAAATCCTGGTTGCACTAAACAAGTGAATTAAGGAGATTTACTTAGAGTCAGGTTGTGACACAGGTCAGTTTTTAACGTGTGGACCCGAGTGTTTTCACTCGGACCGCTGGTCTTAGCTAGTCATATCTTGTCCAAGCTGGTCAGAGCTGGTCTAAGCTAGTCGTAGTTGGTCTTGGCTTGTCATAGCTGGCCAGATCCGATTCAAGCTAGTTGTAGCCGTAATACGAAGCCCTGTGCCAGGTAAGTATAACAAATGAACTAAGGTGTTGCTAATAACTTAATTGCTTTTCGCGTTTTCGTTACTCGTTGTGATGCTACTAAACTGGCGTTGCAAACTAGTTGTAGAGGGTTCGAACCTCACTGGTTGCCGCAGTCCTAATGCCTTGTGCCAAAACTAAAACTAAGCTTAGAATGTCGCTTTTTGACCAGCTACTGTACACGAAACTCGCCTCACTGATATTTATAAGTGAGTTCGATCCTCCCTGAGCGTCCCATTACTGAGGATCCGGGCGAGACAAAGCGATATGGTTCTGTATGTAGTTGGATTAATGGCGTATTTTTCATCTATACCAGCAGCTGAGCCCAGGTTGTCTCTTTCCCTTTGAAATGTTGGCGCAACATAATCTGCCTATTTGTTTTTTATCACGTCCGCGGCACATTTGAGTATGTGCCAAAGATTATCTCTATATGCTTGCTTAAGATTCGTTCATTTCAAAATAGAATTAAAATAGAGTAGTAGTTGCAGGCGGGTCCGAAGGTGCATCCACAGCCACGCCCACTCTTTCAATGTTTTTCCTCTCCTCTTGCTCATAGACACACAAATACCCCCCTCTCTCTCTTTCTAGCTCGCACACACCCATACACTCCTCTCTCTCTCTCTCTTTTTCTCTCAGACATACATATACGCTCTGACTCGCACATACACATTTGCACACATGCACATAGACACATTCTCACAGACACGCACACATACATACTCTCTTTCTCTCATATACGTTACACACGCTCTCTCTCTCTCTCGCGCTCTCTCTCTCTCTCTTTCTCTCTCTATTTCATACACCGCTCCCCTTTCTCTCTCTTCCACTCGCCGTCTCACTATCTCACCCAGACACAGACATGCATACTCATTCTTTCGCCCTCTCTTCCTCATAAACACTTGCTCTCTCTCTCTCTCTCTATATATATATATATATATATATATATATATATATATATATATATATATATTTCACTCAGTCTCTGTCTCTTTATCACACACCCTTGGTTTAAAAAGGAAAGCAAACGGTATTTATTTTTACCTTTATCTTGATTCTCAATACAGTCCCCGACCTTCCGACACCCCTTCTACCCACGTAGGTACAAATCCCTACCCAGCCTTTTTACTTACCTCCCCAGTTACCCGTGCGAACCATTTATGCCATACAGATGAGTAAATGAATGGGAAAGAGAATGGTGCCCACCTGTGGGTGGGGGGAGAAGAGGATCCTACATTCCTCCACCCCAGCACTATCCGGGGTATTTTTTTTTTTTTTGTTTAAAATAAAAGTACGGCTTATATTATTAGCCGCGTCGCGTTATATCAGCAACTCCGAACAGCTACCGACATTTGCTTAACGAGCCATAAAAAGCCGAGAGGACGGAGACAGTCAAGGGATTTTTTTTTTTAAAGTGGGAGAGTACCGGCCGCTTGCCGTAAGTAGGTGCTATTAAACAAGACCCTCACTCTCTAACCTCTTCCGGTTGTCTCGGTTACACACACACACAAACACAGGCTATTATTTGAAAGAAAGAAAGAAAGAAAGAAAGAAAGAAAGAAAGAAAGAAAGAAAGAAAGAAAGAAAGAAAGAAAGAAAAAAAGAAAGAAAGAAAGAAAGAAAGACTGGAACAGTGAAAGAAAGAAAGACAAAAAGAAAGAAAGAAAGAAAGAAAGAAAGAAAGAAAGACAAAAAGAAAGAAAGAAAGAAAGAAAGAAAGACTGGAACAGTGAAAGAAAGAAAGACAAAAAGAAAGAAAGAAAGAAAGAAAGAAAGACTGGAACAGTGAAAGAAAGAAAGAAAGACAAAAAGAAAGAAAGAAAGAAAGAAAGAAAGAAAAAAAAGAAAGAAAGAAAAAAAAAGAAAGAAAGACTGGAACAGTGAAAGAAAGAAAGACAAAAGTGAAAGAAAGAAAAAGAAAAGAACAGTGAAAGAAAGAAAGAAAGACAAAAAGAAAGAAAGAAAGAAAGAAAGAAAGAATTAAATCCTGCCTGAATCCTGATCCATTAAAAGTTTTTATAACAATATTTGGATCAATATTCATCGGCTTCTATCAAGTTTATTTTACACGAAAAGTATTGTAATGAATATCAAATGCATAATACACATAAAGGGACTTGAAAATATGAATTGAAATGTGATTATTTACGTTATTTAAATTGTTCGGATCGTTGCCATATTAACGACGTTTGACCTAAAGAGTTGTGAGTTCAATACCTGACCACAGCAGACGTAAGCAAAAAAAAAAAAAAAACTTGGAGAGATGAGTTACTAAAAGGAAAATAAATGAAACTAAGATATCCAGAAAAGTCATGGCACGTGGAACTAGAACATTCTATTCCAGTGGACTAAATAAAGCTTTCAGTTCGAAATTCCAACGTATACCACCTGAAGAAGGTCGGAGGGTACAACAATAACAATAAAGATGAAGACAACAGTCCGAACAATGTAAATAGTGTAAACAGTTACAATACCTCATCACAGAAATAGAGACAGATGTTCAATATATCTTCTATTACTAAGTTCTATGATCTTTGAACTATGCTATAAAACATTTATAAAATAAGCCCCAATAAGAAATTTCAGTTTATTCTGACTGATACAGTGAATCAAAAGAGAAATGAATAATCGAGTTTCCTTACCTACCACTTCTCAAAATATTGATGATATTCTTTAAATAGACTGGGTCACTTGTAAAAAATATTGGTCAAATTTGGAGTGCAAGATAATTTTTGTAGATTGGAATTCATTAGACCTTTCTAAAGACGCGACATTTGTCATCATTTTAGAGGTGGTGTATAAAATAAATACCGTAATTCCCCATGTATAATACGTCTTCATACATAATACGCACACCTAAAATTGTGCTGAAAGTGTGGGAAAATGCTTCTATTCACGCATAATACGCACCCCTAATTTGGTAATCAAACCCTATAAATTGTACCTCTCCAATTTCATTACGGCCAGCGTTTCCTACTCTTATTTTAAAAAATGATTTTAAACATAGAATAATATTATTCTAATTTAGTTTTATGATCATTCTTATTTTATTTTACGGCAAATTTTTAAAGATTTTTTTGTAGCTGTGTATAATACGCACCCCTGATTTTGCTTATTATTTTTTAGAAAATCTGCGTATTATACATGGGAAATTACGGTATGTAAAATGCGACCAAAAGTAGTAATATTATCTTGATGGTATTTACCTAAATCAATGACTAATCACAGCATTTCTGTTTCAAAACAACATATCACCTGTATGAATTTTTTTTCTTGGTCAATACGAATCGAATAAAATTAATTTACCAAATGTTAAATTTAAGTTACATTAACTCATACTAGTTCTAAAACATCTTCTTTCTCTGATTTCGTAGTCAAAAGTTAAGTGCGTATTATGCACGGATAGTTAGATTTATTTCATCTTAATTTTAGTTACTTTTCATGGCAACTACTCAGTCTACAGCTACCAGTAAACAAATTAATATTTATTTTATATTATTATATTTTATTTATATTAGATGAAATATTTCAGTCAATATTAATCTTTCACTTGTATTCCCGACATCTTAATTTTAGAGTCTGTCTATATTTCTGAGATGAGGTATTATGTACATTATTTACATTATTCGGACTATTGTCCTCATCTTTGTCGCCATATTTATTACAACGTTTCGGCCGTTGTACGCTCCGGCCTTCTTCAGGTGGTTGGAATGTCAAACTGAACCCTTTATTTCGCTCACTGGGGTAGACTGTTCTAGTTCCACGTGCCATGTTTGATGGATGTCAGTTATCAGTTATCTCCTGCTAATTCACCTCTACAAGTTCTCCACTGCCTTAACCAGGTATTGAACTCACACTCTTTGGGTCATGTCACTGGATCTAACCAACGCCTTTATCCACTGTGTCATGTGTCCTTAATTTTAGTTGCTTTTCATCCCAAACACCAAAACTGACAGACTACATCAATGAATAAAAAAAAGGTACAGAACAGAAATAATAAACGCCAGACAAGATTTGAAGATGTTTTTATTTTTATTTTTTTTTTGATTTTTTACTTCGGCAAGACAATCGATGTTCGGCAGCTGCTCTAACATGTTTGCTACAACATAAGGCGTTGAGGAGTGAGATGTGTTTGTTTGTCAATAATGAAGTCATTTCTGTAGACAGAAGGGCCGAGTAAGTGCGATGAGAAACAACAGAAATTAAGGTGAAAGAAATACTATTTAAAAAAATTAATAAGGGAGACAAGATGGGCGTAATATTTTCTTTTATCCAACTATACATTGATAAATGATCATTTAAAACCTTAGGCCAATATTACCAGTCAAATTTCATGTAGCATCCCATATGTGAGAAGGGGCGCACGCGTATATATATATATATATATATATATATATAATGTGTGTGTGTGTGTGTATGCGCGTGCGCGTGTGTGTTAATGTATACTGTTTCCCAAACTACGAAAGGATTTAAAGCCGTCCGACATTTTTACCCTATAGATAATAAAAGGAAAATGGCCGAAGGTGAAACAATTAGAAAAAAAAAAAAAACAAATTCCACCGGCAAAGGAAGGTCGCGTTTTTATTTTTTTCTTTTCTTTTTACTTTGAAGTCTGTGTTTAAGAAGAACGTGACGCTATGCACGAAGCAATAGTCCACCCTTTCTTGGAGGAAAGGTGGTGGCAGATTCACGGAAATCAAATTCTTTGCTGATATTTCCGACAGAAAGGGCATGTTTCCAGGTTTTACGATACCGCCTAATTCTGTGCATCATTCATCGTTGATTCTGATAGCAACATTAGTCGTGTTTCACTTGTGGCAGAAAGGAAAGCAAAAAAAGAAAAAAATAATGAGAAAGGAATAGAGTACAGACTGCAACAAAAACTAGTTAAACGCAGATTGCTGCTTCGGAAACATAGAATTTTTCTTTCGGAGAGGGAAGACATTTTCTGCGATTTCGTTTCGGTTATCGCTGCAGCAAGTGGAAGCAGCAATTCGAGTTCAAATTCCACCCTACTCTTTCGTACAAACGCCTTTAGGAAAGATATCTAGAAGGATTATTTTTAATTCAAAACTTTATACAAGGCAACGAGAAACTACTCCACAATCTTTCCCAAGAAGTCGGAGCAATTCCCACATATTCAAGAAAATGAAGCTGTGGAGTGCCATGATTCCTCAGGTCCTGAATGAAGATGAAATTTAAAAAAAAGATCTATAGATATGAACAAATACGAATACACATACATACACAGAGAAAAAACACGCAAAGAAGAAAAAACAGATAAAAATTGTGTATACAAGATGCGATGGATAAATTGTCGTCTAAATGACGTTCAAATGAAAATAACACTGGCATCACATTTTAACAGATATACGGGGTGCGATGGATAAATTGTCGTCTAAATGACGCCAAAATGAAAATAACTCTGACATCTCATTTTAACAGATATACGGGGTGCGATGGATAAATTGTCGTCTAAATGACGCCAAAATGAAAATAACTCTGACATCTCATTTTAACAGATATACTTACCAAAATTAAACAAAAATATCTTGAAATACTAAAGAGTAAATTTATTCATTGAAATCGCCATTTACTTCAACCACGGCTTCCAGAGTACTTCGGAATCTCCTGCAACTCTTCTGGACGGTCCTCCTTGTTTAAGTTGTTGAATGCTGCTATAATCCTTAAGGCTAGTATTATGGCAGCTTTCATCTTTGATATTACAAACAATTTTGTTGATCTCACACTCGACTGCAACCCGCATATGCGAATCAAGGGGGGTTTGCAGTCTAGGGAGTTATATGGCCAGATGTAAGGGGTGATGTAGTCACAGAAATTGTCTGACAGCCATAATTGTTTACTCTTGCTAGTGTGGCAAGGTTCAGAGTCCTGTTGCCAGTCATAGGATTTTCAAGCAGCCATCCTCTTGACCCAGGACAGTACTATCTCCTCAAGGCACTTGATGTAGGCCTCCGTGTTGAGTCTGAGGCCCCGTGGAAAGATAAATGGAGACATAACGTCGCCATCACTAGTTATCCCCCCCCCCCGCAAACACCTTTGTAAATCCATTAAACTTATTCAAGTCCGAATCCTTTGTACTGTCCTCTGATTGATACCCAAACACTCTGAAATGTTCGTATTGGAATGAATATAGAGTAGAAGGCAAAGAAACGTGTATAGAGTAGAAGGCAAAGAAACGAATATAGATTAGAATGCAAAGAAATGTATATAGATTTGAAGGAAAAGAAACGCTTATAGAATATAAGGCAAAGAAACACAGCGGATCCTACTGCTATTAATGCATTACTCTTCAAGTATGAATTGAGTTCTCCGAGCCATTGTCATATTTCGTATTAAAAAAATGTTAAAATTCCCTTCCATTCTGCAATGAGACGATGGCCAATCAGTCGGGTTTCGATCCCGGCTTGAAGCGATCGGACATTTAGCCACACTGAGGAGGTGTGATACAGTGAAACAGTCTGTCTGTGGATGACTATATATATATATATATATATATATATATATATATATATATATATATATATATATAGTACAGGTAATAGATCTGTTGATATATAATCCAGGTGGATCCTAGTAATATCACATATTAAAACTGATCCACAAAGTGAGATCAATGTATTTATTATAACAGAGCATATATATTATACAGCAAAAAATCCAAAATTACATCATGTGGGTATAGCCTATTTCAAACCGGCGCAACCTTGCAACAGGCCTGTTACATATGAGCTCGAAAGCGCGCGAGCAGACAGGGCCGTTCCAGCGAGGAGATGACTCCTCCCGGTCGACAAGGAAGTTGGTTTCTAATTTTTGGCACCCACTAATTCTTGGTGGGGGGGATGACGAGTCTAGTTATTCCAGTATTAGAGCCAGAGTATTACAATCGAAGCGGGATGGCAACCCCGCATCGATCGGCGCATTTTGGAAGTACGGACACCCCACATTTATTGTCTGCAGACGACGTCTGGGCTCTTAGCCAGCCCGGGGGCTGTTACCGGCGGGACCCTATAGGAGGAGGCCCAGTACTACTTCTCTCTCAGTTTTAAGAGAGTCATCCTTAAGAGAGTCATAGTTACTCCTGCCCTGGGCTAAAAAAGAATGTCGTAAGGTTCGCCGGTCTGAAATAGGCTATACCCACATGAGATAATTTTTTTATTTTTTGCTGTATAATTACACACACACACACACACATATATATATATATATATATATATATATATATATATATATATTAATTTCCCTCTGAAAGTTTTTTGCTGCCTTAACCGGATATTGAACTCACACTCTTTGGGTCCTCTCACTGGATCTAACTAGCGCCTTTATCTACTGTGCCATGTGTCCTCAAGTGTGGACAGTGGATAAAGGCGTTAGTTACATCCAGTGACAGGAACCAAAGAATATGAGTTCAATACCCGGTTAAGGCAGTGGAGAACTTGGAGAGAGGAATTAACCGGAGATAACTCATAACTGACATCCATTAAACATGGTACGTGGAACTAGAACTGTCTACCCCAGTGAGCGAAATAAAGGGTTCAATTCGACATTCCAACCACCTGAAGAAGGCCGGAGCGTACAACGGCTGAAACGTTGTAATAAATATAGCGACAAAAATGAGGACAATAGTCCGAATAATGTAAATAATGTACATAATACTTCATCTCAGAAATATAGACAGATATTGGACGCCCAAAACGTTGTAATAAATATGGCGATAAAGATTAGGACATTAGTCTGAATAATGTAAATAATGTACATAATACCTCATCTCAGAAATTTAGACATACAAATATTTCACGTATTTAAAATATAATAATATGCAATTACTGATTCTGCTGAATAGTATATTTATTTGCTTCTTTATTTTATAATTTGTCTATAATTTTATAAATTTTAAAAATAAATTGTGATTATTTAAATCGATAATGTTTATAAATTTATAAGTTTATAATTTTATCTTTTATTTTTACTTTTATATATATATTATTTACATTTTATTTATTTTTAATTATTTATTTAAAATGTCATTATTTATTTCTTATAATAATATTAATATATTCAATTATTTATTTATTACGACTTTTCTAATGTTATGTATGTGATATTTGTAATTTATGCACACACACACACACACATATATATTTATATACACGTATGTATGTGTATATATGTGAGCGCGTACTAATATGCATATATATTTTATGTCTACATACATAAAAATGCAAAAAATACGTGTACACATACACGTACATAATTCTGTAATTTCTCTCCCCCGCCCCCTTTTTTTGTGGTGGGTTTGATACGACAGTTCAATGTTGCCTGGTGTAACTGTGCCGTTACACACAAGCAAAGAAATGATTGACTGAAGCGTTTTGGTAGATACGGAAGATTCTTTGTTTTGTTTCTTTTCAATGTTGGCTTTCTATTCAGTGGTTAGCGAGGGGTATGAGTTCCTGGAAACGACCGTTCACTCTCTCTCTCTCTCACACACACACACACACACACACACACACACACACACACACACATACACACACACCGCGCACTATCTGTCTCTCTCACACATCCACACACCCACGCACTATCTGTTTCTCTCTCTCTCACTTGCACACACACCCGCGCACTATCTGTTTCTCTCTCTCTCTCTCTCTTGCACACACCCCCGCGCACTATCTGTTTTTCTCTCTCTCTCTCTCTCTCTTGCACACACACCCGCGCACTATCTGTTTCTCTCTCTCTCTCTCTTGCACACACACCCGCGCACTATCTGTTTCTCTCTCTCTCTCTTGCACACACCCCCGCGCACTATCTTTTCTCTTTCTCTCTCTCTCTCTCTCTCACACACACCCGCGCACTATCTGTTTCTCTCTCTCTCACTTGCACACACACCCGCGTACTATCTGTTTCTCTCTCTCTCTCTCTCTTGCACACACACCACGCGCACTATCGGTTTCTCTCTTTCTCTCCCTTGTACACACACTGCGCACTATCTGTTTCTCTCTCTCACTTGCACACACACCTGCGCACTATCTGTTTCTGTTTTCTCTCTCTCTCTCTCTCTCTCTCACACACACCGCGCACTATCTGTTTCTGTTTCTCTCTCTCTCTCTCTTGCACACACACCCGCGCACTGTTTCTCTCTCTCTCTCTTGCACACACACCGCGCACTATCTGTTTCTCTCTCTCTCTCTTGCACACACACCCGCGCACTATCTGTTTCTCTCTCTCTCACTTGCACACACACCCGCGCACTATCTGTTTCTCTCTCTTGCACACACACCCGCGCACTATCTGTTTCTCTCTCTCTCTCTCTCTCTTGCACACACACCCTCGCACTATCTGTTTCTCTCTCTCTCTCTTTTGCACACACTTTCTCTTTGTCTCTCTTTCTCTCTCACACACATACACAAATACATTTTGTAATCATATTCATTCCATATCAGGCAATAAAATCAGTTGTCTGTTACTTATTGCAATTGACGTTTGCAAAAATTTCCGGCAACTTTATGTTTAGAAAATTACAAACCAATGCACAGTAAACAAACCAAAAAAAAAAATTGTTTTTTAAAATAAAAATAAAATAAAAACGATTTCGTATTTTTTCTCTTGTAAGAGAAATAGTAACTTCGACGCCAAAGGACATATTTGATAGTTTACAAAACTACATCGATTAACAAGTTGGTTACTGTCCCTGTCTGGGATGGGGACTGAGAGGAAGAATTTGAGGGAGGAAGAACGGTGCAGAAATAAAGAGAGAGTAAGAGGGATGAAGATAGTGAGAGAGAGAGAGAGAGAGAGAGACTGAGAGGGGGTGGGGAAAACCTATCGTCCCATAATGGAATTAACCATCCTCAAATCTTATAATAGTGCTGTGTTGCTATAGTTGCTCATAGAATCTTTTATTCTTCAAAATTTATCAAATCATTTTTTTTCTCGAGTGATCCACTTATCTTTTAATATTAGAAAGCTGTTTAATTTCTCTATAAAAATAATTTATCGCAGAAAAAAAGAAGAAAAAAGTCACGTCTTTATTTGAAACTGCTTTTCAAATTTTGAAAAAGTGTCTATTTTTCTGATCGTGCGAGATCTGTGAACCTAACGATTGATTGATTGATTTATCTGTTTAACAGCATATCAACACCTTATGGGTCATTTAATACCGAAATTTAATTTTCTTGGGCGTTTTGAAGTAATAAAAATATGATGTTATTCTGCTTTCGCAATTGAATCCATGGTAGATGATACTCAGCTTTTGCGTATATACTTGTTTGTGTGGACATAATTACTAGAGGCAATGATATGAGTGTTTTAAGTTGTTTGTTTAAGTTATATTTGGGAAATACAGTTTGATTTCTTTAAGAGATTGTAGGATATTATATGGATTAATATAATGAAAGTGTTCTTTCATGTTAGTTGTTTGATCTTGTTTATCAATTTCTATGGCATATTTAATGCCAAAATTTAAATATTTTCTTTGTAATTTTATGATTTTAACCACAGATATTTTGTACATAATTTTATAGTTTCAGAGTAAAGGTCTGTTTTTTTTTTATATATATATTTTGTAGATCATAAAATGTATTGTTTGGTAATTTTACTATAAAAATGTATTTTTATATTTTTTTAGTGTTGCATTGATTGTCATTTTGCCATAAAAAATATACTGTTGATCATTTTATTATTTTTGTTTAAGGGTTCACTCTTTGCCCATTGCTGGGACCCTAACAGGTGCTACCACTCCCGGGTCATAGGGACCTGGGAACAATAGCAAGAGGTGGAAGAACCTAATTACTTAAGATAGCATCTACATAGGTGAGTTCCTAAAATGTGGGGGACGCGAGTTCAATTCTTCTCCTACTCTTTTATTCTCAATTTAATCGAACGACCGTTGAATGGATTAACTAAAATTGTTGTATTTAAATGTAATAAAATAATGAAAATGAAATTAGTTAGAAATGAATGTAATAATGGAAATAGAAAATTTCACTCAGCGGAAGGGAACTGCAATGTATTTGAAATGATTTCTTAGATTGTACTAAATGTGGTTCGTTACACTGTACTCGAAATAATTCGTTATATTGTACTTAATTTGAATCGTTACACTGTACTCGACATTATTCGTTACATTGTATTTAATGTGATTCGTTACATTGTATTTAATCTGATTCGTTACATTGTATTTAATCTGATTCGAAATGATTCGTTATATTGTGATTTATATGCTTCGTTACACTGTACTCGACATGATTCGTTTTATATATATATATATATATATATATATATATATATATATATATGTATCCAAGTATAGAATTGGTGTATCTTACTTATTATAAAACGCAGATTGTGTGTGTGTGTGTGTGTGTGTGTGCGTGTGTGTGTGTGTGTAACGTTTATATATTGGATGGGATTTCTTACATTTTTCAACCGATTTCAACAAAACTTCACAGGACTACATAAAATTACCTTGTGGTGGTTCTAACAGCGCCAAAAATGGGAAAAATATAATTGCTTTTGCACAAAATTAATTTGAAAACACGATTAAGAGACATCGTGAAAATGGAAGGGGGACAACTCATATCGGGTTGTTTGTGTGTGTGGGTTCCTTTAAATATGGGAGCGGATTTCCTATATTTTTCAGCCGATTTTTTGGCAGATAGTGTTTCTTATTCTCTTGCACACTTTTTCTTTATTTTTACATTCAGAATGCTTTAAAAATTCCATTTACAAGACAATTGTTTATAAAATTATTCTATTTAATTCGGGAGACTCATAACGATTGAAAACAATGTTTTTGTTTGAGTTTGGGTTTGACCAATTCGTAAAAAAAAAAAAAAAAAAACTAATTAAGACATGCGTGTCCGTCAACCTTAAACAATAATCTTTGTCAATTTTATTTTTCAGTCTTTATGATGGTCGATACTTGATCTATCTCTTACTGTTATATCCCCGGGCAACGCCGGGCTCTACTGCTAGTACGGGATAAATTCCAATAACCAACAAATACTATTCTTAAAAGAGTGCTCAATACAGAATAGAGCAAATATAATAATTATTTATTCGAAAATTATAACATAAATATGTTATAAAATTACTACAAAAATAGCCATTTTGTTTCAACACTTCTGGTGTTTTATCAAGTGATGGTGTTGACACCATAAGTGTTGGAACAAAATGGATATTTTGTAGTGATTTTATAACATTTTATGTTATAATTTTCGAATAATATATATATATATATATATATATATATATATATATATATATATATATATATATATATATATATTATGAACATTTTATGTTTATACATTCTTTTATAGATACAAATATGTTAAGTAAATGCTCTGTTTATAATAAACAGTATTAAACATTTACCGGCCTGAATGTCCGACCTGAATGTTGCACCAATAGAAAGTGTAAAAGACGGAGTAATTTCCGGAGGGTCTGTCTACGAAACTCTGGTGTCGGGATGTTGAAGGTAATATCAATCAGATATTAGATTAGCTCATAATGGAACCAAGTGGTAGTAGGCGATGGTGGAGTAGTGAAATAAGGATTAGTTCAATTATCTTCCGTCAGTTTTCCAGGTGGAGAGGTACGCCCCCCTGCCACCATCCCGTTTGGCTTGAAAATCGTTGTTTCTGTTCTGGCGCCGGTGCAAAATACGTAAATATTTAAACCACTATTTTACAAATGAATGGTTCAAAACAAAAAAAAAAAAAAAAACTGTAGTGCGTATAACAAACATCAAAGATTGGTGAGTCTCATTAACAGAATTTTTAGCTTTCACCGCCTTTGAAACACAGTGTGATTGATGCATTTGAAATTATTTAAAGAAATTAAATTATTTTTCAGGATCTGTCTATATTTCTGAGATGAGCTATTATGTAAACTATTTTCATTATTCGGACTATTGTCCTCATCTTTGTTGTCAAGGCAGAGTGGATGAAGGCGTTGGTTAGATCCAGTGACATGAGCCAAAGAGTGTCAGTTCAATACCTGGTTAAGGCGGTGGAGAACTTGCAGAGGGGAATTAACAGGAGATAACTGATAGCTGACATCAATTAAACATGGCACGTGGAGCTAGAACAGTCTACCCCAGTGAGCGAAATAAAGGGTTCAGTTCGACATTCCAACCACCTGAAGAAGGCCGGAGCGTACAACAGCTGAAACGTTGTAATAAATATGGCGACAAAGATGAGGACAATTGTCCGAATAATGTAAATAATATAAATTAATCTTTAAAAAGAAGATTACTTGTAAAAAGATGATTGCAAAATAAACCCCAAAATTTTGAATTATCTTATTAGGACTGAATATTATTGGCAGATGATAATTGAGGACTGAAAAACGCAAATGTGCTTGTTGACAAAGAAATTGAATTTTTAAAGAAAGAAAGGACGAGAAACAACAATGACGTGACTGATTGAATGCGAAATTGTCACGATTTTAGATCTGTGGCCAATGTTCATCATGACCTTATGGACAGCCGGAAATATCCCCGATGCGTGGTGGGCATTGCCTTAGAGATAAGGAATTTTGCTATATTTCAGGAAGCATAAAAGTGAAGAGTAAATTGAAAAGTACACACACACACACACACACACACACACACACACACACATATATATATATATATATATATATATATACGCTAAAGTTCAAAAGTTTGAAGCTACGCTTAGAATTAGTATGGGATGAACTTAACAGAAAAATGAAAAAAAAAAAATAAATAAAAAACATCTCTTTTGGAGCTTTTTTTTCACATCAATCCAGCTTAATGTTATCGCTATTACTGATATTCAGCGCTTTCCAATAAGTACGCGTAATATATATATAAATATATAATATAATATATATATAAATATATATATATATATATATATATATATATATATATATATATATATATTACACATTTTACACACATATATATATATATATATATATATATATATATTCATTCAAAAATAAAAAACATTCTCTATAACGGCTAAAAGAATACCCGAAAACGCTCGGATATACGGAACATTTGGACAATACCGCATACTTTATGTTCAGAAAAGAAAAAACTTATACGAACACAAAAAAAAATTAAATAAAATTTTAAATATGGTACCTTGTCAGTCGTCTTTAATGAAAATTGTATAAATGAAGGGATGCTGGCCAAATACACAATTATATATATATATATATATGTGTGTGTGTGTGTGAACAAAACTGGTAGCGGCATGCTGAGACTAAAAATGTGGTTTCCCTGGGATTCGGTTCGATTCCTCCACAATATAGGCCCCTTGTTATTAATTTCAATGTTTAAGAAAATGAAAACATGAATAGCAACTCAAACACGTATATATCTGCACACACACACACACACACGCACGCACACATACATATCTATTCACCCAACTATATAGGATCGATATTAGATAGCATTTTTGCACTTTTTTCTTATCTTTTCTAATGAATATTTTCAGTTTCTTAATTAATTGTTTAGCTTTTGAAAGTCATCTTTCGCTTATTCCAATGCGTCTTTGGAGTTCAGTTCCACATTTTCTTCGTCTCTTAAAACACTTCCTAGTTATTTCAATTTATGCAACACATGGGTAAAAACAAATAATAATAATAAAATAATAACAACTTAATCTATTTAATAGCCTGTAATTAATGCTACAAGAAATCTATAGGAGAGACTCCGAGGAATTTAAATAAAAGCTTATATGAACATAAAAGAGGTTTTTACAAAACAATACGCTCAATGCATTAGCTGCTCACAGTAATGAGGCTGACTATAATTTCGATTTAAAAGAAAATGCTACTTTCTTTAAAAGAGAAAGCAATTTACTAAGGCGAAAATGTATAGAAAGTGTACTGATTGCTAAATAATTCACGGAAAATGTGCGTCCAGTTTCTTCAGACGTTTCACTTATCTTGGCAGATGATCATTTATCGCAATGTGGAATAATAACAAAAATAAAAGCGTAGGGAAACTGAATAAGATCGGTTAAGCAGTCTGTCCGGACACATCTGATAGAGACTGAATGAGATCGGTTAGGCAGTCCGTCCGGACACGTCTGATAGAGACGGAATGAGATCGGTTAGGCAATCCGTCCGGTCACGTCTGATAGAGACTGAATGAGATCAGTTAGATTACAGTCAACACGAAGAACGCATGGATAAGAAACAAATCTTTCATTTATTTTGTACTCATTCTCAGGGATTATGTCTCTAAACTCTGACACTTAAAGCAAAAGTCATAAAATGTTAAACGAATTTTTTGTTGAAAGTCATTCATTTTCTTTCTCTTTTTTGTTCTCGAGCAACACAAGCTTGGGGAAAATATATGGTTGCATTGTCATAAAGACACACAAATGTGTCCACACGCAACTCATTATTTTGTCTTCGTTCTGATGAAGTCTAATTGGCGAAATGCATTTTTTTCGAAGCATTAAAATTTGATGAACGTTTTTTCAATTGTCAATAATATATATATATATATATATATATATATATATATATATAAATATATAATGAACAGAAAAGATAGATAGATAGATAGATAGATAGATAGATAGATAGATAGATAGATAGATAGATAGATTTGATCAGGCTGAGATAGATCGAGATTTCTTTTTGTTTCTCTGAAAAATAAATATAAAATGGCCGACATAGAAAATAGATTGATTAATATGTGCAGATCGATACATACACACACACACACACATATATATATATATATATATATATATATATATGACATTTGTGTGCCTACAAGAATATAACAGAGGGCGAGAGAAAGAATGTGTGTAATGTATCGTTATATGTACGTGCTAAAATGCGTACTTGTCTCGCTCCAGGGATCCGAGGCTCAATTGATTTGATTTTCTGACCTTCCAGAATTTTAACCGCTACTTTTAAGAAAAAACAAAACAAAAAAAAAACAAGGAAAATAGCGCAACTTTTTTACCAGTTTTTTTTTTTTTTTTGCCTTGTTATCATTTCATAGCGTCTGGTTACATTAAACACGCAAACACGTTAGTTTTCGTACACCAATAGCCTTCGACACACAAAAAGGTGCTTTGAGCGGCAATATATACAATTCAACACTTCATTTTCTTTCTTTTATTTTTGGGAGATGTTGGTTTATTTTCTGCATTTGTCAATCATGAATCTGGACCAAGTGACTCGAGTTGGCGCGAAACTAAAAACCAGTTGAAAAATTGTCTTTCGTAAGATTTTTTTTCTTGTTTTAATGAACTGACAAATCTTCGATTACAATTTTTAGATAAATCACTTGACTCGGTTTTTCCGTCCACTTTTGGTGCAAACACTAAAATGTCAACACTTTACACACACACGCACACAAACACACACACGCATATATATATATGTATATACACACATCATATATGTATATGATGTGTGCTTATATATGTGATGTGTAAAGTGATTTTTCTAGTTTTATTAGCAGCTTTGAAGATATTTATTCCGGTTACGTTACAGATTTTAATTTCAGTTGAAATTTTGCTTTAAATTTGCTTCTTCGAACTGAATGACCTTTCTCTTCACGCATGCGCACGTACACACATACAAACACAGACAAACAGATAATGACTATTTTCATTATGCCAAGAGAAAGATAGACAGAGAAAAGGATTAAAACAGAGAAGGAGAGGATGTGATAGTGATGCTGAGAGAGAGAGAGAGAGAGAGAGAGAGAGAGAGTGTCGATTGACCGGTTCATTACACACTTTTCTTTTGTCTACTAAAAAAAAGAAAAGAAATATGACTGGCACTGGGACCTGAACTAGAACCGCCACACGATATTCGGGCAATACGTGAACGTTCTATATTTAGAAGTTAGTCAACAAATTTAGCATTTTGGAGACAGGATTACAAAAATATATGCAAAGGGAAAATTAGAGATAGAAAGAAATAGAGAGAGAGAGAAAGAGTAAAAAGGAGAGATAGAAAGGGAAAAGTAGAGATAGAAACAAACAGAGAGAGAGAGAGAGTAAAAAAGAGAGATACAAAGGGAAAATAGAGATAGAAAGAAACAGAGAGAATAAAAAAGAGAGATAGAAAGGGAAAAATAGAGATAGAAAGAAATAGAGAGAGAGAGTAAAAAAGAGAGATAGAAAGGGAAAGTAGAGATAGAAATGGAAAAGTAGAGATAGAAAAAAGAGAGAGAGAGAGTAAAAAATGGAGATAGAATTGGAAAAGTAAAAATAGAAAGAAATAGAGAGAGTAAAAAAGAAAGACAGAAATGGAAAAGGTGGGATAGAAAGAAACAGAGAGAGAGAAAGAGGGGGGGGAGCAAAAAGTGATAGAAAGGGAAAAGTAGAGATAGAAAGGAAGAGAGAGGGAGAACAGATAGATAGAAGGTGAAGAGGTAGAAAGGGCTAAAATAAAGGAAGGAAAAGAAAAAGGAAACATATAAATAGAGAGTGAAAAGTGAAAAAAGAAAAGACAAAGAGTAAAATTGCGGATGGGAAAAGAAAAAGAATAGAAAGTTATAGAAAAGGAGAGATAGAAAGGGGAAAAAGGAGAGAAAGAAAGAGAATGATAAAAAGTAAGAGAAAGGGAGGAGTAATATAAGGAGAAAAGGTGAGATAAACTTCTAAAACAAATTTACATGCCTGTAAATGAATTTTTTTATTCGTCTCTGGAATATTAAAAAAGTACATTCTGAGATTAAATATTTCCACTCTAAATAATATTTATTTTTCTATTCGGATTATTCTTCAACACATCAGCTCTTATTTGTTATACATCGAGAATTTCAAATAGTGTGAATTATCTACGGATTAAACGACATCTTGGATCTCCTAACATCTAGACTTTCTCTCACAAATGCCGCCTTAATAAATTGGACAACTGAAAATAAAAAAAGTCAAAGGAAAAATAAAACTATTTTCCAAAGAAAACAATGGTTCGAGAAAAAAAAACAATTGGATTGGATGTTACTAAATTTAGAACAAGTGACGTATTCGGAGATTGACGCATTACTTTTGAAAGTGGCCAGTCCCGTTTCTATTCAGACCTTCAGAGCACCGGATGTTTGACTGTCGACAAACCTTGGATTGCAAAACAGCCGTGCCTTCAAACCTATCACACTTTCGTTATATGTGACTCTCCCAATAATTACCTTCCTTTTTGCTTATCTTACCGTGTCATATATATATATATATATATATATATATATATATATATATATATATATGATAAAATAAAAGAACAAATAGGAAACGTATATTAATCTGACATGTTTTACTTTTATTAAAGCTTCGTCAGAGATTGAGAGAAAACATTACGTTTGGGTCAGTTCTAATTGGTCAGACACATGTCACGTGTATTAAAGCCGTGGATAATTCTATGTGTATGCAGGTTTGTGAAGATTCTTGTAAGTCTAAGTGGGCATAAGATGGTAGCATGTATTTGTAATTGTGTATGTGTCTCTGTCTAGTGGCAGTTTTATCTCCACCTTTTTTGCGGTCTACCTGCACAGCGGGGAGTCACAAGGTTCTAATTTATGATTCGCCTCTTTGTATTAGATAGATATAAGTTAGATTTTTTAAGAATGGATCCAAAGAAAGATGGCGGTGTAATGTAATGTTTTAGGTGTGTGTTTATAGTTAACACTTATGTTATTATTACGTTTTCAATGTATTTTCTTTTTAAATAATTATGTTCTTTTTTAATTAGAGTGGCAATAGTTATGTTTAGTATAGTTTCGATACAAAACAAGAGAGATCGATTGTCCGAAACGCAAATCTTTCTTGGGTTCGTAGATGCGTCTCCACCACATAAATATTTTTGCATTGTAAACAATTTATTTGGTTAATCTCGGCATTTGAATTAGTGTTGGAAGGATTATGAATTTTGTGTTATTGGGTGGTATCTGTTTTTTTGCTTTTACGGATTTTGTAAGCTCGTTTTTTTGCGTTTTTTTTTGCGTTTTTTTTTTTTTTGCGTTCAGAATGAAATGATTTGGGTAGTGGAGAAAGTTTTCTCAACATATATATCTTCTTCATTTAGGTATTCCGGGCTACATATGTAGTCCTGAATAATTCAATAATCCTGCTCTCCAAGAAGCTTCATACTAACCTTGCAAACAAATTAGTCATCCCTAATACTAGGATCGTTACTATCACCTCCAAGACAAACGCAGATATAATTAGGAAAAAAAAAACAAAAAAAAAAAAACAAAAAAAAAATCAACACCGGTACAGATGCCGGGATTTATCAAATGAGAACTGACACAAACGTAATTGACAATAAGATATGTTTCCTGAGAAGAAATGATTGATCGAGAAAAATCGTCGAAAATGAATTGTATCTATAAAAATAACGTATAAACAGAAAATTTATAAAATAATTATCAGACTTAATCCATTTCATTATTTGTTGTCATTGTTTACTTTAAGCTACGTTTTGTGAACAGAAATGATCGATCGAGAAAAATCGTCGATGATTATGTGTTTATAAACAGTAATTTGGACTTTGCTAACAAGACGCTTTTTGTGGTTAAAGTGTATAGCACGTCAGATCAAATGACAGTCTTCGTATAGGGATACAAGTTTGATTCCTGTCGGAGAATGCTTTTTTGTACGAAATTCTTGAACATTCAGGCCGATAAATGTAATTAATAATGTTTAATTTAAAACAGAGCATTTACTTAAATAAATTGTATCTATAAAAATAACATATAAACAGAAAATATATTAAATAATTATCGGATATAAATTCATTTATTATATATATATATATATATATATATATATAGAGAGAGAGAGAGAGAGAGAGAGAGGTAATTACGCTCGTCTCGGAAAACCTTCGGTTTCTTGATTTGCTAAAGATCAAATCAATTTCTAAGGAAAAAAGGTTTTAAAAGAAGAAAGATCAAAGAACGTGAACGTCTGTCGAAAATAATCGTACAGCATACAGGTCC